GCTGAGTTCAAGACCAGCCTGGACTACATAGTGAGTTCCAGGTCAGTCTCAACTACATAGTGAGACCCTGTCTCAAACAAACAAACAAAAAAAACAAAAAAGCATACCTTGTTCTTTCCTTTGTATCTCAAAAAGATTTAAAATAGCATATATCAAAGATGTGTGCAGTGACTCTCATAAGCAGCCCATTAGGTTTGAGGGCGCTGCTTTCATAAGCACAAGTTGTAGTGCTACACTTCTTGGAATGCAAGGCAAAAAGGATAGAAAATAATTTGGCCTTAGAATGATCCTGACTGCCTAGCACCTTTTTTGTTTGTTTGTTTGGGTGGCTTTTTTTTTTTTTGCCTTTTTGAAACAGGGTCTCACTATGTATTCCAGGCTGGCCTGGACTCACACTGATCCTCCTGGCTCAGCCTCCTGAGTACTAGGATTACAGGTGTGTGCCACCATGCCCAGTCTGCCTAGCACTCTTATTATTATACTGGGCAGCAATATTTGATATTAGAGGAAAAAGCATCTTCCAGTTTTCCTGAAAAAAAAATTAAATGATTTCTCATGCAGGAACTAGAATCATATACTGAAAAGATTTTTTTCTAAATTTGACAGAAAATAGTGATTGTGCCAGGTGTGGTGGCACACGCCTGTTGTCCTAGCACTTGGGAGGCTGAGGCAGGAGGATTGCTAAGAGTTTGAGGCCAGCCTGGGATACACAGCAAATTCAAGGCTGGCCTGAACTACACAGCAAGATCCTGTCTCAAACAAAAAACTAGGGGGAAAAGGATAAAATAAAATAAAATTTGTTTGGTTGGTTTTTTTGAGACAGGGTCTCACTATGTACTTGAGACTGATCTGGAACTTACTATGTAGCCCAGGCTGGTCTCAAACTCACAGTGATCCTCCTGCCTCAGCCTCCCCAGTGCTGGGATTACAGGCATACACCCCCATGCCAGCATCCTTGTTTTGTGTTTTAAAGATGGAGTCTCCTAACATTGCTTAGGCTGACTTCCGCCTCAGCCTCCGGAGTACTGGGACGACAGGTACATGCCATCATTCCTGAATTTTTAAAAACTTCTTTTTCATCTAGGCAAACACTACCAGTAAGGTACATCTGCAGCCATAAATAATTTTTCCTTATGTTTTATAAATAAAACTGTTTTTTTTTGGTCTGTGTGATTTCTTCCATTTTCTCTAATCTTATAAAACTACTCCTCTAATGGCTTATTTTCCATCAAGAATTGCAGCTACTTCAATTATTTTACCATCTTTTTGAGAAATAAGGAGAGGACAAGATCATCCCCTTTTATTATTTTCAAGTGGGGGCAGCAAGATGGCCCATGACTGTATGTACATCGGACAGACTCTGGAAAGATATGTGAAACACTGTTAACCCCAGTCCTCTCTGGGTGGAAGAACAGGCACAGATGGATATGTTGTGGCACAAGTGGCAAACACCTGTATTCTCATAACTAAGGAAGCTGAGGCAGGAAGATCTTGAGTTCAAGGCCAACCTGGACTACACATTGAAGGCCCTTCAAATAAAAACAAAGTATGTAATTTTCAACAGCAATCACATTATTTGTTTCATAGAAACATTTTTTAATAGAGAAGACAGATGTGTTCTGAAAAAAGAGGACCGGGGATTTACCTCAGTGGCACTGTACTTGCCTGGCAAGTGCAAGGTCCTGAGTTCGATTCCTGATACCAAAAAAAAGGTCAATCAATAAAAAAGAAGGCTGGGGATTTAGCTCAGTGGAACCACACCTACCTTGCCAAGTGCAAGGTCCTGAGTTCAAGGTCCTGAGTTTGAGCTCTGGTACCGGAAAAAAAACAAAACAAAACAAAACAAAAAAATAAAGAGCATAAGTGCCCTCAGAAAAGTTAAAAGCAGGCAAGACGTAAAACGAGCATAACAGTTGTACAAGTTCCCTGCAGACAGAGACCCTGGACATTGTCACAGGTAAACAGGTATCTGTGATGCAGAACTCCAGCCGGGGATGCACTGTGTTCTAAGCACTTCCCATCTGCTACCTCATAAATTCTCCAGGGAATCCTGAGGCACGGATATCCCCCCCATATGCCAGGTAAAGCAACCATAATTCGGGCTTTAGTAAAGCATGAGTCAGATCAGACTCAGAGCCAGGGATTTAACTCAGTGGTTCTGCTGCCTGCCTCGCAAATGCAAGGCCCCTAGTTCGATCTCTGATAGCAACAAAAAAAGACAGATCAGACTCAGAGACCTTGGTGGAACCTCAGGGATTCCCTGCTCATCTGCGAAGAGGCAGAGTAAACTGACCTCCCACGAAAAGCCTGAACACAGTACTCCCTTGCTCCCTTTGGAAAGTGCAGGGATCCAGGAGAAGACCACTGAGGGCGTGGTGGAGCCAATCCCACCTCCAGTTCCTCAGTCCCTTCGGTGGCCTGCACAGACCTATTCTGAGGACCCCGTGGGCGGGGAGCACGAACTGACCTTGGTCCGCCCTCGGCTGCCTCCCCATCTCCCCCACCCCCCCCGTCCGGTCACGTGGCCCCTAGGTCCTCTTTGGCCTCCTTCCTTTGGGATCCGGATTTAACTCCCCCTCCCCCTTGCCCGGCCCTCTAGGCACTGGCTGGGTCGGAGCTGAGTACCTTTCTCTGCGGACCCAGGCTTCAGTTGACCACTGGCCCTCGACTCCCCTCACTGCCCGGTCTGGCCCTGTCCTTTCCGTGCGCACCTCGCCCACCATTCTAGGCCTCCCCAAGCGCCCAAACTCTGGGCCCTGGAAGGTGGGGAGAGGGAGGAGAGCAAATGCCCAGGAAAGGTGTGCGTTTCAGAACCGCGGAGGCGACAGGGAGAAACTGGCCGGCTTCTGGGATCACAAATGTGAGTTCGAATCCTGTCTCGCCTCTGACCAGCTGCTGACCTCCTTGCCTTCATCTCCCGAGGCCTCAACTGTCCGTTGGAAAGCGGGTCCTGCAGAGCCTGCGGTCTGACGGCGTTCAGCTGGGGCCGGCCTCCCCGACGC